CAACCAGCGGCCGCGCCGGAGACTTCAAACGCGGGGAGCGCGGCCCAGCACCCGCGGCGAGTTCGCGGCGGCGCCGCCTCCCTCCCGCCCGGCCCGCCGCCCCGGGCTCCCGGGCCGCGGCCCCCGGTCCCGGAGGGGCGCGACGGCAGGCGCCTGCGGACGCGCGTGCGCTCGGCGGGGGCCGTCACCCTTCGTCTGGGTTGGCGAGACGGAACCACCGGGACGGGTCGGTGCCCTGCTCTAGCTTACGTAATTCAGACGTGACGGAGCCCGGGTCTGATCCGCCTTTTAATGCCACGGGCGTTCTCTTGGCCCCACGGGGCTCTGCTGCAGTGGCTTGTTATGAAACGGATGCTCAGAGCCATCCTCCGACAAACGAGCCTACCAGAGTGCCCCGGACCCCGCCTCTCCCCGGTGTCCTTACTTCAGCCTGTGCTTCGGATGTCACATCTCGCCCTAGACCCTGACAAGGCATCCCTCTGGTCCTTTAGGCTCTGCCCCCACCTAGCCGGTAACCCACAACTTAGTCAGCGAGCCGTCACCCTCTGATCGATCAAGAGGCGACCTTAGCATGGCAGTCGGTGAATCGCCTTGAGGAAAGCTGGCCCCTGAAGAAAGTAGATGAAATCCATCCTTCACAGAGCCCTGCCTTTTAGGTCTACTGATGGAGGCCTTGAAGCTTAGCGTCAGGTTTAAGTAACTAAAGAGGACCCAGTTCAGGCACAGTGGACTTATCAGTTGATCTGAACCGAAGAGCAGTAGCTCTGTGACTCGAAGTTGGGGTGTACTGTAAGGGTGTTCAGAAAAATCTCTACCCAGCTGGGACAGAGCAGGATGGAGCAAGTTTTCGTCACAATCCTCATAGCAGGGTGGCAACTAAACAAAAATTATGAGTTAATTATTTATGAAATCCTTAACACTTCGAACTATATTGTCTGTGGGTAATTGAAATAGGAGAGCAAAGCCCCAGCTAAGGGGAGACTACCGTATTGATGTATTTCTCACTAAGCAACAAGAGCTAATAAGCTAATAACTGAAATAGGAAAAGCTATCTTTTTATCATTGGGAATTAGAGATTAATTGGGGTAATTAAGAAGGAAATGGACTACAAGCCTCTGAGAAAAGGAACTCAAAATGAAGTATAGCAGAATGGGCGAGGTGTATAGCTCGGTGGTGGAGCAGTTGCTTAGCATGCACAAGGCTGAGGAAAAAAAAAAACATTTAAAAGATTGATTTGTGTGGGTTTTGCTTGGTTGGTTAGCATTACTTTATTTTTGCAAAACAGAGATACTGAATTAGTTGAGTATACAAGTTACATATTAGAAGCTGCATTAATTTTCCAAGATAAAATGAGTGTTAAAGGGAAAACGGCTTATACAATGAAAATGTGTTTTCCCAGAATACTGGAGGCTCCAAGTGAAAGATAAGGATGCCAGCCAGGCTGGTTTCTCCGTGGGCCTGTTCTCTTTGCTTGCAGATAGCCATCTGTGTAGGTCCGGCTTTCACAAGGTCATCTTTGTACGTGGGTCTGTATCCTAATCGCTTTTTATCACTTGTGCCTATGTCCCACTCTCTTATAAGGCTGCCATTCATTGGATTAGGGACTACACTAATGACTTCATTTTTTTTTTTCAAATAATCTACATGTGCATTGGTGTTTTGCTTGTATATATGTCTGTGTGTTGATGTTGTGTCTCCTGGAACTGTAGTTAAAATTGTGAGCCGCCATGTGGGTGTTAGGAATTGAACCGGGGCTCTCTAGGAAGATCAGTCAGTGCCCTTGACTGCTGAGCCACCTCCCCAGCCCACTAATGACCTAATTTTAATTACCTCTTTAAAGAGAAGCAAGAAGACTGATAAAGTCAGTAGTGGAGAAACAAACATCTTCTGCTGGCTTTATGCTGGCCCTTTACCTCTTCTGGCAGAACCTACAGACATACAGCTATCAAACAAATAAACTGTGTTCAGTATCTGCAGTCTTCCTTTCTGTAGTTGCTCATGGGGTCCTAGTTGATATTGGTTACTTCTCGATCTGAAACTTACTAGCTATGTAACCTTGGGTATTTAATCTGTGCCTCAGTTTTTACATCTTTAAAACAAAGTAATAGGAATATATATTCAGGATTGTTATGATCGTTAAATATGGTTTTTCTGAGATAGTTCAGTAGAATGGCTGTAGAAGGGTGTCATCCTCCGTCATACTCCACCACCTTTGTTTGCAACCAGGTCTGTTATTAAAGAGGAGCTCTCTCACCAATTCAGATAGGCTAGATGGTCATCAAGGTCCAGGGATCAAGCTGTCCTCAAATTCCAGATCCACCTGCCTCTGCCTCCTTCAGCAAATTCTACCGGCCTGTGCCACCAGAACCGGCAAGATCCAGCTATACCACTCCTAGGCATATATCCAAAAGATGTTCAAGTACACAACAAGGATATTTGCTCAACCATGTTTGTAGCAGCTTTATTCGTAATAGCCAGAACCTGGAAACAACCCAGATGTCCTTCAACGGAGAATGGATACAGAAATTGTGGTACTTTTACACAATGGAATACTACTCAGCAATTTAAAACAAGGAAATAATGAAATTTGCAGGCAAATGGTGGGATCTAGAAAAGATCATCCTGAGTGAGGTGTCCCAGGAGCAGAAAGAAACACATCGTATACTTTCACTTATGTAGTCCTATAAGATAGGATAAATATACTAAAATATATGCACCTAAAGAAGATAAACAAGAAAGAGGACCCGGGGTAAGATGATCAGTCCTCACTTAGAAAGAAAGATGGGATGTACATGGAAAGTAGGAGAAAACAAGAAACAGGACAGGAGCTTACCACGGAGGGCCTCTGAAAGACTACCTAGCAGCTTATCAAAGCAGATGCTGAGACTCATAACCAAACCTTCGGCAGAGTGCAGGGAATCATATGATAAAAGGGGGAGTTAGTATGACCGGGAGAGGACAGAAGCTCCACAATGACAAAATATATCAGGGTATGGAGGTCATCTATGAAACTGTTTCTCCAACCAGGGACCATGTATGGATATAACCTAGAACCCCGGCTCAGATGTAGCCCATGGTAGCTCAGTATCCAAGTGGGTTTCCCTAGTAAGGGGAACAGGAACTATTTCTGACATGAACTCAATGACTGGGTCCTTTACCTCCCCAACCCCCGATGGAGGAACAGCCTTGCTAGGCCACAAATAAGGACATTGCAGGCAGTCCTGAAGATAACCTGATAAGCTAGGGTCAGATGGAAGGGAAGGAGGACCTCCCCTAGCAGTGGACTTAGAAAGGGACAGGAAGGAGATGAGGGAGGGAGTGTGAGATTGGGAGGGAATGAGGAAGGGGGCTACAGCTGGGATAGAAAGTAAATAACCTGTGATTAATATTTAAAAAGTAAAAATAAAAAAAGATCCAGGGATCAGCCTGTCTCTATCCCCAAAGCACTGGGGATTTTTAAAGGACTTAATGCCTGTAGGATCTCACACTGAAGTCCAGACTGCCCTCAAACTCATGGCAATCTTATATTTCTAAGTTGCTGAATTGATAAATTCCTGAACTACTTTGAAATAATAGAATTTTATGGATTTAAAGCTACCTAAAAATTTGCAAATCCAATTATAGATATTGCTAGGTGTCATGACACACACCTTTAATTCGAGAGGTAGGGGCAGGTTGAAAGCCAGTCTGGTCTGTATAGTAAGTTCCAGGCCAACCAGGACTACATAGTGAGAGCCTGTCTCAAAAACAAAACTCTGTGTGTGTGTGTGTGTGTGTGTGTATGTGCACATTCTTGTCTGTAGACATGTTTGTATGTGTTGGTGAGCCTGCATGCATGTCATGGAAGCAAAGAATAAGGGTTTTCTTTCCTTGGGAACTTTATTTTTATCCTAGTTATTTTGGATTTTTATTAATTTGTTCGTTTTGAGCCAGGGTTCCTCATTAGTCTGGAAATGGCCAAATAGAATAGGCTAGGGTGAAGGGTCAGGAAGTCCCTAGGGATCTGCCTGTCCCTGCCTCCTTGTTGCTGTAATTACATGCATGTGCCACCACGCTCAGCTTTTATGTGTGAGTTCTGGAAATTGAACTCCTCACTTGTGCAGCAAGCACCTCAACCATTAGCCATGTCCTCAGCCCTCTCTTGCAAGGTTTGAAAGTTCACATTTAGGGCTGTGGTTATTTAAGCAACCTTTCATACAAAGCTCAGAGTGTGAGTAAGGTATATGCCTCACGTCAGATCCAGTTAATTCAGAACTATGAGAGTATTAGCCCTTTCCTGTTGAATTGCCTTCGCACAATTGTTCAGAATCAACTGACTGCATTTTGAAGGGTTTATTGCATGACTCTATTATGTTCTATTGGTCAGAATGCCTATTCCTCTTGTCAAACCCATGCTGCGTTGGGCATTATAGATTAATAGTTAATGTTCAAACCTAATCTAATAGACTTTGGTAATGAGGTTCCCCGTCCTGGGATTACAGGTATGCACCACCATGCTCTCCACGCTATTAAGTTTTACTTTTACTTATTGGTTTCAGTGTATTGTTGCCACTTTTATTAAAATGGTGACAGTT